GCATGGGTCGCTGCATGCCAGAATGGTGGCATTGTACACGGACGGGATGACGTATTTCGCTTCCTCCTCGCCGTTCACGGTGTTGCACGCAGCCATAATCGCTCCGTTTGTGAGATCGCGGGACCCCGTGGATATCCGCAGAACTGTTGGCGTGACCCTGCTGGACATGAGTCGGTTGCCGGACACAGACACCGTGGAGTCGCGGAGATTCACCGTGGGATAAAGAAAAACAAACGCTTCCGATGGGGATTCACGGCAGAGGTTGCCGCTCAGCTGCAGCCAGGAGTTGTAGTAGATGTAGGAAGAAAAGCCTGGGAAAAACACAACCAAGCTCTGCTTTATTTCATTGCCCTGAAACACAACCGCTGACCGAGACTCCACACGTAATGCCAAAGTTAGTAATAAAAAGTACCGCACGGGCCTCGTCACAAGATTGCCTCGGATCACCACGGCAGAGTTGTTCAGTACACTCAGCGATGAGGATTGGCTGGACCCTTCAAGATGTATCAGCGTACCGTCACCGCCAGCCATATGAAACGTGTTGCCCACCACCGCAAACACGGAGTGCCACGACACCCTCAGCGCAGATCTGACAACGTAAATGGCGCTTGACGATGCCGTCACGCTCTGAAACACATTGCCACTGAACACCACCGCGGAGTCTTTGCTGATCGCCAGTCCATTCATCATAACGCACGACGGCCTCCTAAGGCGCAACCCCAACCGAGGGATCAGCCTCGTGACAGTGAAGCGGTTCCAGCTGATCGTGATTTTCGTGCGCGATGGAAACACACCCTCCGGGCTGAGCAGCGCGTCACTAAATGTGTTGCCGGTGACGAGGATGTTCAGCGACCCCACAGCGGCGTACGCGTTGCCCAACAGCAACAGCACGGCGCCGTCCCTCCACGTGCATCCATCGAACGTGACATTTGCCACGTCGCCCGTCATTGCCCCAATCAGCACCGTCAGGCTCATGCCGCCCCCGCTGAACGTCACGTTGCGGTAGCACAGCCACGACAGCCCGCCGCCCACAGCCTGCGCAACCTCGGGGTACACCATGTCGCTGATGCACTCACCAACCGGCGGTGGCAGCGGTGTGGGCGGCACTGGTGGCAGCGGCGGCGGTGGCGAGCCAGCAGGCACAGGCGCCGGGACACACACATCGCCGTGCCCTCCAGCAGCGCACTGGCACATGCAGCCAATGGCCGCCGTCGTCAGCGGAGCAAAGCAGTCGCCCTCCTTCGTGCACTGCCCGCACGCGGCAACAGTCGTCACGTTGGTGATGCCGTTCAGCTCCAGTTCAGCCGCCGTCGTCACCTCCCGTCCCGCGACCGTCAGACACCCAGCAACAAAACGGTAACCGGCCTCAATCCGCTTCAGCAGGGGTCCCAACAACCCCGTCGAGTCCATCCTGCAGCCCGTCAGCGTCACAAAACTGCTGCTGTCAATGGTCACAAATGCGGACTCAGTGTCGTAGAACATCGCACCCAATTCCACGTCGTTGTCGCGCCAATCCAACCAGCTTGACCGCTGAACAGTCCACAAGTCATCGTTATAGATGGCGTAGCGAGCTGAGCCGCTGTTCCCCACCACGCGCAGCACGCTGTGATCCGACACGCTGAATTCTTGGTGCTGATACAGCAGACTTACCCCAGAGAACATCCTATTTTTGAGCAGTGCAAAAACGGAGTGGTCACTCACACTGAGACTCTGCACGTAAAACAGGTATTTGTATCCCTCAAAGCTGCAGTACCGCGCGTACAGCGAGCTGCCACCCACCAGCGTCAGTGTCCCAGTCGAGTACAAACCAAGCGCATCACGCTTCGTTGCATGCGCCTTGACGTTGCTGACCAACAGCGTTGACGCACTCAAAACAACGTTTCCCAGCAAAAACACGCTCCACATGTTGTACACAGTACCCGATAATTCAAACTCGGAGGACTGTACCGCATCAACCTCCGTGATGGCGATGTCGCAGCGCTGCGGGAGGGCACGTAAAAAAGCAACGGTGGAGGACCGCATCACCGTCTGGCTCACGCGGATCAGGACGCCGGACGACTCGACCGCCTCAACGCCCCCAACAAACTGCAGCGCGGCACCCTCACGGAATGTGCACCCGGTGAGCGTGATGTTGATGGGGAGATGCAGCGGCATGCTGTTGAGGAAGAACGTCAGCACAGAACGCCTGCCGCTGAATGTCACACCCACGTAGCAGTGGTGCGTCTTCCACATCTTCAGCGTGAGGTTCGTCAGCGTCTGGTTCACCACGCAGCTCGTGTCGCCGTCAACAGCTCTCTCCGCTACGGGCGGCACAACCGCGTCGGGCACCTCGAAGGGAAGACACGACGCGCCATGCCATCCGTCCTTGCAGCTGCACGAGCACGAGCTGCGGTCCACCGACTCCGTCCCGGGCATGTAGCACGCCGCGTCATCGTTGCATGTGCCACACCTGAAAAGCACCGCCTCCTCCGGAAACACATCGTCGTCCGACACCTCCTCATCGCCCTGCAGGTTGCACCCAACCACAAACCGCGCGGGTAACTCAACAATCGTGTTCGGTCTAAAAAGCTTGACAAAGACTGCGCTTCCTTCCACCTGACGGTTGTGCGCAAGCGCCACGGTGGTGCTGCTGCCCAACAGCTGAATTTCTTGCCAGGAATACGGAATAGATAATACTGAGGCTGCACCCACGCTGTTGCCCTCCACGCGCCACTGCGCACCACCCCGAAGTGTCACCGAGCCAGACACATACACCAGCGCGGAATCAAAAATTTCCGTCCCGCCAACAAAGGTGCAGTCCGCCACTCGCAGCAGCCCCGCGGAGCTCACGGTGGTATCCCCAAGAAGAATAACGCCATTGACCGCGCTCATCGTGTTGTTCTCCACGTCAAAGTAGCCGCCGTTCCTCACATCAACAGCATTAACGCAAACAGATGATTCCACACCCTCATCGTCATTCGTTGTGCTCAGCGTATTTCCCTTCACAATAATCCCGCCACCATCAACAACAACAGCATCGATGAAATAGACTGCGTACTTACTCCCCTCAATGTAGTTGTCGAGTAGCAGCAGCGTCATATTCGCACTGAGAGCAAACTTCACAAATAAAATGGCGTGACCCGACGTCGTCACAATCGTACTTCCCGCCACCAGTATCTGGGAGCTCGCACCAAAATGGCCCTGAAAAACCAGCTCACCAGAATCCAGCATCGAGGAGACCACGTTCACGTGCACGCATGCACCACTCCCCTTGATCGACAGGCCCATGAAGACGCACTGCAGCAGTGTGATGTTGAGTGTCTGCTGTGGTGCGTCGAAATACGACAGGTCCAGCACAATCGCGGCAGTGAAGGTCACGCTGACGAAGCACAGACCACGCACACCGGGATCAGGATCGTCCACGGAGCTGATGCTGCCACCGTGCACGCAGCGGACCTCCGTGTCGTCCGCATCGGGGGGCGGGAGCGGCCCAAGACCGTCCGGAACCGCAGCTGGCAGACACGTGTCACCGTGGCCGCCAGCATCACACACGCACTCACAGCCGCTGATGCTGCTCGTCCTCGCAGCAAAGCACACGGCGTCCACGGTGCACGCGCCGCAGTCCAACACCATCACGGGTGCTCCAATATTGAGCTCTTCTCCGTAATCCGTCACAGGTGAGCCCCTTGCCGCGTTGCACACGCCGTAGATGATCGGGCGAGTGTCGGATGGTGGTGACCACTTGCTTGTCATACTTACAATGGTTGACGAGTACGAGCCGTACGTGAAGTTGTTGTCAAGTATCGACCACACACTCCGATCGCGGAACGCCACGCTGCTTTCCTTGACTATGTACACAACGTAGGCGGTGCGGAACTCGTTGTCGCGGTGCACCAGCCAGCTGCCGCCGGTCACGGTCAGCGTATTTGCCATGAGCATGGCGAAGCCGAGACGGAAAGTGCTGGACACAATCTGCAGAACGCTGCCGCCAGCCACAACAACATCCTCAAACACACACGCGGCTTTGCCGTATTCGGTGCTCGGAGCACTCCACGAGCTGTTCTGTATGGAGAACACGGAGCCGCCACCGACACGCAGGTCGGAAGCAAGAGCGTACATCACGTGTGTCTGCGAACTGACAACGCAGTTGTCCATGTAGAAGACGCTGGACAGCTTGGCGCCAAGGCCGCGCTCCACGAGGATCGCAGCACACGAGCCCCCGCCACACACCAGCGTCGACCGCGTCAAGACAAACCGCGTCGACAGAAGCCGGACGCCGTCGAGGGCAAGCGCGGGGCCGTACCGAAATCCCTCGTGTCCACGGGCCGTCGGCACGTACTGCGACCCGCCAACCGTCGCGCGCAGCGTTGAGTTCGCCAGCAGCACACTCGAGTGCAGCGGCATCGCGCCATGCAGCACAATCGTGCCCTCCAGCGACGTCACATTCGTCATGTTGACGAGGGCGTGGGGCATCAGGCGCGCCGTGCTCTCGCTGAGGCCGCCAATCCGCAGCTGCGCGCCGCCCGCAAGCACGCAGTGGCGCAGCGTCACGTTCAGCGCGTCAACGAACGCGTCCATCGAGCGCAGGTCTACCGCCACAGTGATCGGCCCGCTGAACACCACCGAGTCGAAGCACGCCGTCGCACGCCCGCCGCCAACCGTCACCGACTCCGTCAGCGTCACGCCACTCACACAGTCCTCCGCACCGCCACCACTCCCGCCGGGCCTCGCAACCGGCACGTCGAACGGCAGGCACGCCTCGCCCACACCGCCGCCGCGGCAGCCGCACACGCAGTCGACGAACGACGCCGTCAGCGCATCAAAGCACGCCAGCGCAGACGCACAGCCGTCGCACGGCACCACGCTCACGGAGGACAGGCCGGCCATGCGGTAGTCGCCGCCACTCTGCAGCACCCGGCCGCCGGCACGGTTGCACTGCACCGACACGGCGCCGCTCGTGATCGTCAGCCCGGAGACAAGAGTAACGCCGGTGGCAGTGCAGCGCGCAATCGACACGGCACCGCCGCTCAGCGTCACCCCCGACAGCGACGCCACAGACGACGCCTCGCCCACCGCCCACACGTCGCGCAGCTCCAGCCACCCGCCGGCACCGATCGTCCCACCGTCGCAGCGCACCAGCGACGACGCGACTGACCCCTCGACGCCCACGAAGCGCAGCACCGAATCAACCACCGCAAGGCGCTCGCCAAGCACAAGGCCGCCGCCGCTGCTCACAACCGACACGTTCGTCACGGAGAACACCGAGTGGCTCCGCAAACTGAAACGCGACGAGGACGCCACATGCAACGCGGACGCGGTCGAACCGCCCGACGCCTCCAGCAACACGCCGTCAAGCACCACCGCGCTCGACAGCAGGTCCACACCGCCGCCAACGTACACCGCCGACCCGCCCGCCTGCAACGACCTCAGCACAGTGCTGCTCACACGCAGCTGCGACTGCAACAGCGACGTCGCATGCAGCACAAGCGGCGACGCCACCGCGTCCGTCAGTCCGCTCAGCTGGGAGTAGCGCATCGGCCCCGCCGTCACAATCGTCGAGTCACGGACCGTCACGTTCGTGTGTGCCGGCAGGTTGTGCACAAACACGAGCGAGCAGTAGCCGCCGGACAGCCCGCTCACGCTCACCTCCAGGCTCCGGTCACTCGCCGGCTCGCCGCTGTAGCCCCGCACGTAGAGCTGCGCACCGCCGTCGCACACGCAGTTCCTCAGTTCGATGCGCAGCGCGCCGGGAAGCATCGCCGGCACGTCGAACACAACAGCCACGCCGTTCGTGATGTGCACGCCGTCCATCAGCACCGTGTCCACGGCGCGGCCAACCGTGATGGCTCTGTCCACCGTGCCGCCCCGCAGTCGCAACACCACCGCATGCACCGCGGGCATCCACGCCGCCACCGCAACAAGCGCCAACACAACAAGCAGTGCCACACGCACAGCCGCAATGGCCCTGCGCTGCACACGGTGCCGGCTGCGCGGACACGCACCCACCGCAGACCGCATCCACCAGCCCAGACAAGTACCAACAAGGCTATCGTGGTGTGTCGCACTCGCCCCGTCGACCATAACTCCTGCCTAGCAAATCCCTTCCTACAGATTGCGAATCCAGTGACACGATTCCGCCAGATCGTTATACTAATACTGCTAATCCTAATACTGCAAGTAATCCCTAACGCCTTGAAACGATAGTTGTACTGGTCAAGCAAAAGTATCTCTAACTGCACTCTCAGAAAAGGAGTAAAAGACAGCAACAACAACAGTAACCAAACACAGTGGCACGCAGAGGCATCCGGTCATACACAATAACCTTCATAGTACAGCCGCCGACACAAAGCAGCGCAGACGCAATCAAGTCAGTGACACCATCGCCCTCCCACCGCCCATACAACCCCGTACAGCCACCGTGCCGAGTGGCGGAATCCCGGCAAAAAGCCACATGACCACTGGCACCGCTCCTGTTACCGAGTGGCTGCATCGCGGGGCGGTCCCGATGCCGTGCACGACACACAAGAGCCGAGGCAGACCACGTGGCAGCGTTACGACCGCCGGCCATCAAGCGCGTCCGAAAGGTTGTTGGTGTTGTTGGTGCGTAAGTGGAGTGGAGAGCGCGCCGGTCGCCAGCAGTCAAAGCATCGTTTCTCGCTCACGCGAGTCGGCATTGCACAGCAATCAGCGACACCATGCGCGCCCGACATACACAACAAAGGAAAAACAAGGAAGCACGGCGGCACTCAAACACGGGGAAAAAGGTCCACATCGATTTTGCATTCCAATTGGCTCACAGACATCCGGATGGTGGTCGCGCCGCTGCTCTGCGGTGCGTGTGACGTGTGACTGCAGTGGACAGAGAGGATGATGAGAGGGGTGGGAGACGCAGTGCGGCCCTCATCCATCTCGGTTGACTGTGACACCGGTGACGTCCTCCCGTCACATCGCCTGCAGCAAAGACCGTCGCCGTCAGCAGCGGTCGGTGCCTTCCCTCTCCCACTGGGGCGCAACTCCAACGCATTCGCTCGTCTCCTCCCCCACCAACACAACGAGGGAGCAGCGGCAAAAGATGAGACACGCATGGCAGGTGCACAGTCGCAGAGCCCCACTGCTGCCGCCATGGCCAAACAAGGTCGGCTGCAGGGCGCAAAAAGAAGAATAAACACCCCATCAAACGCCTTGGCACCACGTGGAAGCACCGCAACCGACACACAAGGCAAAGCGCCGTGAAGCAGGCACCAAAACCAAAGCTCCCACAACAAATTCATCGTGGAGCAAAAGAAAACATTATGCGAGCGCGAAAAAAATCACACAAACTGAAAAACAACAATGACGGTGCAGAGGCAATAAATGGTCGTGGTGCGCAGCAGCCGTGGCATCGCGCCCCTCCCTCATCAAACGGCACCGCACCGCAACGCACCGTGACGACCGCCTGCAATGACGACGATTGAGTAGTACACACAAAGCGGCATAAACCTTTCATACCGCACTCGCTCAAGTTTACGCTCTCAGTATGTACTGCCAACAACACAGGGAAGGACACGGAAGGGGACTGTGTCATCCATCCACCTTCTGCCCACAACAGATCCTCCCCACCCTCATCCTCGCCACACCCTGGGTGCCGCGAAACACCGTCAAGCAGAGCCACGTGTATGGAATTCTCCAATGCGCAGGGCGAGGCTGGCAGCCACCCACGCTCACTCCCGCACATATCCTCTCCCACAACTTTCCCACACACAAAAGGGCAAAGACATGGAGAAGAAATGCCCGCCGCACAACGCATGCAGAAGCACCGCCATCCAC